AAGCTGCCGCTGCTTCTCGCCCCATATCGCAACAGCCTTCGGGCAGTCTGCCTGGAGCTGCTCAACGGGCTCCCACGAGTTATCCGACTCAGGGTAACCCCTTCACTTCACGAGCAGCTGGCGCTTGCCATGGAACCGCCGCTCCCGGACGACTCGTTCCACGTGGTAGTGGATCTGCCCATTACGATCAAGGAGGGCCGGCGGTGGCCTCGCACGGCCATGGCTACGAGCCTGAGGCGACGCAGCCGTATGCTGGGGCCCCGAGTCAGGTGGTGGCCCTGCAGCAAGAGGAGATTCGTCTTCTCCGGGACCGTGTGTACGTCCTCGAGATCGCGCTTGGCGTCGGCCTTGATGGCGAGGCTGCCGCTCGTGCTGGTCAGCCTGGTGCCGTGGAGCGGCTCCGTGAGAATGTTGCCTCGCTCTATCAAGAAACTCGCAGTCTCCACGGCCGTGTGGATCGTCGAGCCGACCTGTCGTCTTACGACTCGCTGCGAAACCAGCTCGCTGGCCTTCGGGCCGAGCTTCATGGCCACGCGCCGTATCCGGAGCAGCAGCGGCCCCACTCGTATCAGGCCCAGTTTGGCCAGGGCTCGTACGGGGCCCCTGCGTATGCTGCTCCGATGTACGCCGCACCGTCTTACGACCAGCGCGCGTATCAGGCGCCTTACCGCGACCCGACGCCGCGCTTCGAGGAGCTGCGCTCTTCTCCACCGGACCACCCACCGCTTCCTGCGGGGCAGCCAGAGCCAGAGGGTCATGGTACCTCTTAAGACGACCCCCGTAAAACGTCGGGTGAGTCGTCATCGACTTGGGCAAGTCTATGGTGTACGCCGCGCCATGCCGGCTGAGGACCGTGAAGGGTCCAATGAAGCGGTGCTTCAGCTTGTTGCTCTCGACCGAGCTAACAGTGTTTAGCGGTAGGTTTCTAGTATCTAGGAGAACTAAATCCCCAACCTTAAACACGTTCATGTTTCCTCTTCCATTTCGGTCAGAGTACTCCTTCTGTTTATCTTGGGCTTGCGCCATGGTGTCTCGCACCCTGCTGATTATGTTCAGCCTGTCTTCGGCAAACGAGGACAGTTGCTTCCGCAAGGTGGCTGGACTCACGTCCGAGACTTGGGAGGAAAAGGTTTTCCGAGCCTCTCCCCCACTTAGGACCGAAGCCCCGGTACTGCCTCGTAATGTGAGCGGCACCTGAGGGTGGCGCAACCCGTTCAATAGCGGGGCATCTCCGCGCAGATACTGCGGAGCGTGTCTTCGAGCACGCGATTGACGCGCTCCGTCTGGCCATCCGTCTGCGGGTGGTCCGCCGTCGACATCGACAGTCGTGTGCCGAGAAGGCGAAACAGCGTCTGCCAGAACGTAGCGGTGAACCGCGGGTCTCGATCAGAGACAATGGTCTCGGGCAAACCGTGGTGTCGGAAGACACAGTCCATGAACAGGCGAGCGACCTCGTCGCCAGTGACGGTGTCACGAACTGGAGCAAAGTGGACCATCTTGCTCAGACGGCACACGAAGGCAACAACACCAGTGTTGCCACGGTCATCGGCCGGAAGTCCGAAGACAAAGTCGAGACTCATCGACATCCAGCAGTCCGCTGGGACCGGCAGGCTTCACGCGCTAGCACGTCTCGCACGTACGGACGTAGGCGGCGACCCACTTGTACATGTGACGCCACCAAAACATCTGCGAGACAGACGCGTACGTCTTCTCACGGCCGAGATGGCCACTGGATGGAGCGTCGTGCGCCTCCATCAGGATGTCGTACTTGAGATCCTCGTCGTTGGGCACGACAATACGGGGAGGATCCTCGGGCTCGGCCCTATAGTGGAGCAAACCGTCAACCCACTCATAGCAGTGCAGCCTTGCACGTTGTCGGGGCGTGAGCCACTCGGCCTTGGCTTCCGAGCCAGCGGCCAAGAACCGCACAAGAGGTCCGAGACTGGCATCGTCTCGGTGCCCCAGTCTGATGCGATCATACAGATCCGTCGTGACCCGACTAATATGAGCAAGCTCGTAGTCGGGTCGGCGCGACAGCGCGTCGGCAAGCACGTTCAACTTGCCCGGCTTGTACTCGACACGGAAGTTGTATTCCGCGAAGAATGACAGCCAACGCGCCATCCGCTGTGAGAGATGCGGCGTGTTGACGGCAGTCCGCAAGGACGCGTGGTCTGTATAAACGACAAAGGGCGTCGAGCCCAGGAGGTGCACTCGGAACTTGACAAGAGCGTACTTCATGGCAAGTAGCTCCTTGTCGTGGACTGGATAGTTCCGTTCGGCTGCCTTAAGCTGCCTGGACTGGAACGAGATGACCCGTTCGCGGCCTTCATCGTCGGCCTGCAATAGCGCACAGCCAATTGCGTAGTCAGACGCATCACAGACTACGCTGAAAGGCTTCGTCTCGTCCGGCAATGCCAGGACTGGCGCGCGCTGTAAGCTCGCTTTGATGTCGTTAAAAGCATCTTGATGGCGACGCTCCCAGCGCCAGTCGACATCCTTCTTCAGGAGATCCGACAAGGGCCGTGCCAGCTCGGCGTAGCCTGCACTATACTTGTGCAGGTAGTTGGCGAGGCCCAACCACTGTCGTAGGTCCTTCTGCGACCGAGGTGGCGGCCAAGCCGCGATGGTTTTCACCTTCTCCGGGTCCGCCCGGACCCCGGCGCTACTGACGAAGCAGCCCAGGACCTTGATCTCCTCAGCTGCGAACACACACTTGTCGATGTTGGCGTACAGCTTGTTCGCCCGCATGACTTCGAACACACGTCGAAGGTGCTGGAGATGCACCTCCATGGCCGTCTGGCCTGCCTCGGCACGGCTGTGGACGAAGATGTCGTCAAAGTACGTCTGTGTGAACGCACGCAAAGGTCGGAACAGTTGTGTGATCAAGCGATTGAACGTTGCCGGGGCGTTAGAAAGCCCCTGAGGCATGACCAGCCACTCCTAGAGCATACCGCTCGGCATGCTCACAGCCGTGAGTGGGATGTCGCTCTCGCGCATCAGGATCTGGTAGTATCCGTCCACCAGGTCCAGCGCGCTATACAGCGTGCAGCCGGCCATGTTGTTGAGCAACACGTCCTTGCGCGGGATCGGTGTCTGCGCAGGCACTGTCGCGCTGTTCAGCTTGTTATAAGCATGAACCAGACGCCACTTTCCGTTCGGTTTGCGAACACAGAAGGTAGGCGTCGAGTGCGGGGACTTCGACTCCCGCACCATGCCTGCCTTCGCCTTGGCGGCAAAGAAGGCATCAATGACTTCACACTGCTCCCGGGGAAGAGGCCATTGCCTCGTGACACAGTACTTCGTGCCTGATTGCCCTGTCTGGAGGGAGATTGGACGGTGGATCCTTGGACACCACGTCCTCGAACTCCTTCACCAAGGGGTACACCGGGTCCCGGGGATTCTTAAGAATCTCAGAGCCCATGCGCGACGCGCGCTGTCTCTGGAACTCCTCCAGGGCTGCCTGGTCCATGACCGAGGACGAGTTCAACTCGGCCGACGTGGACTCCGGTCGGAGGAGAACCAACTCTGCGATCTCCCCGGCCTTTAGCTCGGCCAAGAAGTCCTCCATGGCGAGCTCCTCAAGGTTCAGCAACTCTGAAACCTCGGGCAGAGCTGTAAGCTCGACAGCTCCTGTCTTGACCCGACGACCGGTCACGCCGTCGAAGATGTGATAACACTCTTCGGCGGCTGGAGCCTTGGCTGGAGGCTCGGAGCGTACTGCGAGTCGTTCAGATGGGGAAACTCCGTACGATCCATCTTGGCTCACTCGATGAGACCACAGAGGATTCAGGTAGTCCAATCTACCCGCGTAGGCGTAGGATTGATTACAAGTGCTACCAAGTGTGACGGGGCACACAGCACTTCTTAACAGAGGAAGCAGGAGTATACAAACTCCAAGTGAACAGCCGTTCACGTGTCTCTGGTCTGCAGGGGACGACTTGACTTGAAAAGCGGTAGATCTAAGACTGAATGTATTTATAGGTTGGTACAGATTTGGCCTGCATACAAATCCTAAGTTCCCTATAGTTTGTGTCATACAAAATGTATCTGTTGGCTCTGAGGCGATAATGTGGCAAAATGTGTTGTTAGCCGCCGCCGCCAGCTCCGCCGGCACGATTCGAGCCGCGCACGCGACCGGCATTAGTTTGTAGGCACTGCATAGATGAAGTAGAACGGCCAACACCGCCGAGAACGGCGGCTATCGGCAGCCTGCCGCTGCTAGTATCGACCCTCAGGTCTAGATTTTGAAAATGTGGCAAAATGTGTTGTTAGCCGCCGCCGCCAGCTCCGCCGGCACGCTTCGAGCCGCGCACGCGACCGGCATTAGTTTGTAGGCACTGCATAGATGAAGTAGAACGGCCAACACCGCCGAGAACGGCGGCTATCGGCAGCCTGCCGCTGCTAGTATCGACCCTCAGGTCTAGATTTTGAAAATGTGGCAAAATGTGTTGTTAGCCGCCGCCGCCAGCTCCGCCGGCACGCTTCGAGCCGCGCACGCGACCGGCATTAGTTTGTAGGCACTGCATAGATGAAGTTGAACGGCCAACACCGCCGAGAACGGCGGCTATCGGCAGCCTGCCGCTGCTAGTATCGACCCTCAGGTCTAGATCTAGATAATGTGGCAAAATGTGTTGTTAGCCGCCGCCGCCAGCTCCGCCGGCACGATTCGAGCCGCGCACGCGACCGGCATTAGTTTGTAGGCACTGCATAGATGAAGTAGAACGGCCAACACCGCCGAGAACGGCGGCTATCGGCAGCCTGCCGCTGCTAGTATCGACCCTCAGGTCTAGATTTTGAAAATGTGGCAAAATGTGTTGTTAGCCGCCGCCGCCAGCTCCGCCGGCACGCTTCGAGCCGCGCACGCGACCGGCATTAGTTTGTAGGCACTGCATAGATGAAGTTGAACGGCCAACACCGCCGAGAACGGCGGCTATCGGCAGCCTGCCGCTGCTAGTATCGACCCTCAGGTCTAGATCTAGATAATGTGGCAAAATGTGTTGTTAGCCGCCGCCGCCAGCTCCGCCGGCACGATTCGAGCCGCGCACGCGACCGGCATTAGTTTGTAGGCACTGCATAGATGAAGTTGAACGGCCAACACCGCCGAGAACGGCGGCTATCGGCAGCCTGCCGCTGCTAGTATCGACCCTCAGGTCTAGATCTAGATAATGTGGCAAAATGTGTTGTTAGCCGCCGCCGCCAGCTCCGCCGGCACGATTCGAGCCGCGCACGCGACCGGCATTAGTTTGTAGGCACTGCATACGTAAAGTAGAACGGCCAACATCGCCGAGAACGGCGGCTATCGGCAGCCTGCCGCTGCCAGTATCGACCCTCAGGTCTAGATCTAGATAATGTGGCAAAATGTGTTGTTAGCCGCCGCCGCCAGCTCCGCCGGCACGATTCGAGCCGCGCACGCGACCGGCATTAGTTTGTAGGCACTGCATACGTAAAGTAGAACGGCCAACACCGCCGAGAACGGCGGCTATCGGCAGCCTGCCGCTGCCAGTATCGACCCTCAGGTCTAGATCTAGATAATGTGGCAAAATGTGTTGTTAGCCGCCGCCGCCAGCTCCGCCGGCACGATTCGAGCCGCGCACGCGACCGGCATTAGTTTGTAGGCACTGCATACGTAAAGTAGAACGGCCAACACCGCCGAGAACGGCGGCTATCGGCAGCCTGCCGCTGCCAGTATCGACCCTCAGGTCTAGATTTTGAAAATGTGGCAAAATGTGTTGTTCGCCGCCGCCGCCAGCTCCGCCGGCACGCTTCGAGCCGCGCACGCGACCGGCATTAGTTTGTAGGCACTGTATACATGAAGTAGAACGGCCAACACCGCCGAGAACGGCGGCTATCGGCAGCCTGCCGCTGCTAGTATCGACCCTCAGGTCTAGATCTAGATAATGTGGCAAAATGTGTTGTTCGCGGCCGCCGCCAGCTCCGCCGGCACGATTCGAGCCGCGCAATGCAAATGCTCCCTAACAATAATATTCTTTTAGTACCCCCCCCCCAAACGCTACCGACAACACCGGTATGACCCCGGTTCCAGTACGTACGACTATATCTGTCAACTTAGTGAGGTATGTCTATTCCAATACTTGTATACGTATTCTACTTAGAGTATTCTAAGTATTAGAATACGTATTCTAGATTAGAGGCCGGGGAATGAAGAGCACAGGAACCACCACGCTGGTCCCTTTCCTCTTCATTCCTCATTCCTCATTACCACCACCACCACCACCCACCACCACCACCACCACCATCACCATGGCATTGAACTATACGACAGTTATCGAGGTCAACTTCATCCGTTTGCCGACGCGACTGGGTAACGCGCCTACGCACAGGTTTTTTTTTTTAATTTGAGGTTACATTGTTGTCAATTAGCTAATACGATCGCCGCTACGCACAGGGTGCACGCACTGCAATAACCTTTACCGCCTAGTCGACTACTCTCAGGGAGGGGCGACACCGAGGAGACATTGTGCAGGACGTAGTAGCCCACCACTGTCTCACTATCATTTTTTTCAACAGAACTATAGAAAACTATACATGTAACATGTACCTATTCGAGCTGCTCGCCAGAGAAGCGGTGACCTCACATGCTGCTCGTCCTTATGTCGTGAAGCAACAGCATTCCATTCGTTTACGGAGACACGTATTTCCACGAAAGCAGCGCAGACACTGCAAGGTGTGCTTACCTCGGTCCTCTATGCCACGGTCTACGCCAAGCTCAGGCCGTGCTATTGTATGAATACGCCACCGAACGAAAATCGATGCTGAGACCATGGCGGCCTTGAGTTTCAAATACGTCGAAGTACGGGAGTTGATATTATTGTTTTTTTATGCGTGACTCGCGCTACCGCTCATTTAACCGACGATACGTGCTTGGCGATGGCTGCGGTGGTGTCTATGCAGACTGTGACTTGAGCGCCATGAATCCAGGGTTACCAGCTCCTCCACGTAGCGGTGCGCTGAGTTGTGTACGGAGGTCAGCGCACTGCACCTTGACATAGTCGACGCAGCCTGCACTTGCTCCACAGCGCAGCAGTCTTGACGTTGATCAGGCTGCTCCGTCGCCATCTCCGACACCTCCGCTACCGTCTCCTACTGGATCACCTCAGCAGTTGCGACGCCCTTGGGCACCTCCACTTCATCGGACTCCGCTGCATACGATAGAGCTTCGACCATCGAAGCCACATTGGAAGCCTCGGTCGCATCTGAGGCCTCGACAGCAGACGCAGCTTCCGCCACAGGCTCCGGTGTCGTCACGGTTTGAAGCGCTTGATCCACCGACTCCTGTACCCTTGACTCCAGTCTACTGTGCTTCGCCGGGCTTGCCCACTTCGTGCTCCGTCGCCGCCTCCGAAGCAGGACTACTCGTCCTCGTGCATAACGAACAGCTCGAACATCGTCTCAGCATCGCATAACAAACGGCACCATGCCGCTGTCCCTGCGTGCACTTCCACTACAAGGGAGAACTCGTAACGTGAGCCCCCGTCGAGTTGGAGGTCGGGGCTGACGTGGTAACGCGTGCCTCGCCTCCTTTTTGTGCTTGTCATCCTTCTTGCTCATCTCTGTCGTCACAGTAGGCGACGCCGTGGCAGTCGTAGTGGCCGATACGGCAACACTGGCCTACAGCACTGACGCGGGGTAGCTGGAGCACATGCCTGCCGAGGAGCTTGCATGCGGCGAAGCAATGACCCATCTCTCCTCGCTGGCTACCGCGGACAGGTCGTCGTAGAGGGCATGATCCCAAAAGCGCCGCTCGCGTTGAACTAGCCGTCGCCCGGGAGGCGTCGTCCATCGACTTCCAGCCACGTCGCGGGCAGGGTGCTCCAGGTGGCTGCCGGCATGGATGGAGTCACTGACTTCTCAGTGGGAGCAACGTTCGTGTCGCCCTCAACTTTCTCTGGCGACTGGCTGGACGACACAACCGTCCACGGCTCGAACCCCCTCGACTGCTGCGGGGTCACCACACGACGCGTGATTATCCGACATCCAGGGGTGCTCTGCGTCGTCTCACCGTTCTCGTAAAGCTTCCACTGCTGGCAGCAAGGTGTCGACCTCGACAGATTGCGCGTCGTCTTCCTATTCGACGCCGGAGCTCGAACCGGCCTTGTGGACAACAGTGCGGCGAGCCGGAGACGCCACACGCGCCCGTGTGACCGTGCGTCGGCTTGGTGTAGACCCCTCGCTCGTGACGCTGCTGATGCTGCCCGTGAAGCTTCCGACACTGACAAGAGAGCCGCCTTCGCCCTCAATGATCTGGCCGTCCGCGTCCACGTACTGCTCCACTGGAACTCTTGGTACCGTCCTCCCGAGCGCGTGACCTTGCGGCGACCAGAAGCGTCCGTCGAGCTTTCCGTGACGGTCTCCTCCGTCTTGGACCTGCCTTCAGTCGAGAGCTCATTACCGTCATGCAGCTCTCCTGCGGATCACTACGTCCAGAGCTGGATCCGGGTGCCTCGCTCCCGCTCACACCGGAGAAGCCGCTCGTCCTGGCCAGCGCGCTGCCGTCACTGTTCACCGCGTTGCCGTCCGCACTGCACTTGTTCGAGGACGTGGCCGCCCTGCACCACTTAACCGCCGGCGTCCACGTACTGCACCACTTCGTGGACCTATCCGTCTGGCGTAACCTTGGCGGACACCGTCGACATCGGCATTGAAGGCGGAGATTCACCCCCGTCGGGGACAGTCGGCACGGTTTGCTCTCTGGCAAGCTGCGACGCACAGCGGATTTGGCTCAATACAAACTCAAGTCATTCGCCGAATCGACCGAGCGAGCGCATGTCAAGCTTTTCGCCAGCGCGTTCATTGGTCAAATTGGAGCAAAAAGAGTGGCCAATAATCACTAGGTGCACATTTTTATCTAAATGTTGGCGTACTGTAAAAACTGTAATTATGCCGTGGGGTATTGCAGCAGTACCCCCCTGCCAACCTGGGGCATTATTACAAGGGGGGCACTATTTGTAGTTCGTAAGAACTGTGTTTTGAGGGGGTCTCACGCGTCTGTAAACCCCGCTACAATGACGTTGAAGCTCTACAATAGTGACATGCAATGTCAACTTCAATCATTGTCACTCGACCTGCGCTATCAACTTCAAGCATACATGAAAGCCTATGTCTGCACCGCGAGTATGCCAGTGCATGTATTAGTATTGAGGCCTTTAGATATCATGCATTAGTTCAGCACGGAATAGATATAAAATCCAAAACGTTGGTCATTAAACAAGGCAGTATATTACAAAGCCATAGAATATGTTTAATTTTCATTTTAGCAAGAGTACGAGCGTGTTAGTCCATTGCAACATTTGTGGAAAACTTAAGTACCGATAGTTCAACCAACATTTCTAAAGTGTCGCTACACTTTCAACCTCACAGCGCTGCATTTATACTTGAACTTTTCCTCACGATGAGGACAGGTGAACTCTACATATCTGAATGCTCTTGTCGACTCGAACACCTTCGCCCATCGCCCAAATTGCTGGATACCATGCTCGGGTCTGATTTTAGCTTTAACAACCTTGTTTACTGCTCAATATTACCACATCGGCGCACCCTCGTTACTGTTGTTATTCAATTCAAGTAAGTGATCACGCCCGGGTAGGCCAGCATCGTTCGAATTGCATGGTATTCATAAGAGATTTTGAGAGGAGTGGCAATCATTTCACAATATCAGATTGTAAATATTTGGCTGTTGCGTCTACCCTATGAGTGTTGTAGCATCGTTTTCTGTTGCTCTTTAGGCAAACAATAAACATAAAGCAACAAGCCACGATACTTTACTGCATGTTATGTTAGTTCTTCTATACTACCGGTAGTAGGATGTCACGCTCCACAGCAACTTCTACACAGCGGAAACCAGCACACTACTGTTTCGACCGATCCTACATAGCCCAGTAGAAATGATCAAGTCGTCGCCAACTTTTTGTGCTTCTTCGAATTCCAGTTTCATTGTCAATGTTCCCCGATCTTTATGTAGAATGGGCCTCGTTCGGCAAATAATCGATATTTTTCACTTTATTTCTGTCGCCAACATAACTGAAATGTTGAGCAAAATCGTTGGAGCTTTCATCTCTTGTTCGCTTCTTACCACTTATTTTTTCCTAACGAATGCACATATCTTGTAGCGTCATATTTTCCGACCCTGCCTTCGCCTTTCTGGTACGAATGAGGCTACTAATAAATATTTAGAGGACCTCGAATTCCAGAGCTACTTTGGGCGAGACTATGATGTTTCGATGCATAGATTTTATATTTTAATATGGAAAATAGCTAAAATATCTCCGAAGAGTCGATTGAATGCCTGACCTGAGTAAGGAAACGTCTGTCCGGATATCTCCGGAGAGATTTGTGGAGAGTGGGTTGATTGCCTGATCAGATCAGAACCTTCTGTCCGGATATCTCCGGAGAGATTTGTGGAGACAAGATTGCTTGCTTGAAGGGAGATGGTGAAATGTTCTTGGGAGAGGGCAGGGGGCTTGCCATTCGCTGACGCAGCGCAGATCACCACCTTGAAGAAATCCTCTCCAAGCGCATGAGTTCATGACGAGCGACAAAACGTGCACCCGGGGAATCTCATGGATTGTGCAAACGGTCTACTCTCCGAAGCCAACATTGGAGACCATATTTCAAAAAAGCACCGACAATGGACTTCACGCGGATCGTCGACGCTGCCACCACGCTACGATCCTTCTACCCAGAGCTTCGACTGCTCTTCCCGACGGCGGCGGTGCTAGCGAAGGCGCTCGATCTACTCCTATCGCCCAACGCCGATCCGGAGGCGCTCCGTCAGCTGTGGCTGTCTCAGACGACTGAGAGCACTGTCGATACGACAAAGGCCCGCGATGACTACCGCAAGCTTGCTGCGCTGAATGAGAAGCGCGGCGCGTGGCTTTACGGTGGCAGGAAGCAGCTCAAGGAAGAGAAGGACGCCATGCTCCGACACGTCCACAAGCTGCGATCGCTCCCTTCTCCAGCATCATTCGAGCTGGTAGAGAAGATCACAGGGATCTCTACAAAGTGTGCGCGCTCCTGGTACAGCACCTGGCTGAAGAAGCAGGACCAGAGCAACCTGAAGCGATGGGCGTCGGAGGCGTCGAGTTACAAAGACGACTGGAAGCGCGCAACCAGAGCGAGCAACGACGGGAGCAACGACGGGAGCAACGACGGGAGCAACAGTGCCGACAATGGTAACGATGCA